ATGATGGAGAAGGCGTTTCTGAAAAAGTTGTTAGCAAACTCTACTGACGGTCAATTTTTCTGTCAATTGTAATCTGTGAGGATGACACGACATACACTGTACATCTTCATCATTCTGTTCGAACTGCTCGATTTATTATGCGAAATAATAACGAATCACGTGAGTAATAGGTAATAGGAAGATCGGATGAATAAGACTCAGCGGACTCTTCTATCTCATCCATTCTTTTTGAATTATTTTTATAATATTCACAGTACATTTCTAGCATGCTTTCCTTAGCATGCTTCATTTGAGGGCATTTTTAATAAAACTTATTTCTAAAACTTCTTCTTTCGTTAATCTTTTAATAGTACCCCACATAAACGTGGTTTCATACTAAATTTTTGTCATGATTGATTGATTCTAAACATAATTTAAAGCTTGATGTTCGTTCGCTTTATTAAATAAGTGGCAAAGGACAAATTATGATTATTTGCTTGATTTCAAACGGTTCTCAAATTGATCAAACATTAGAATATGACTGTTTTAATATACTTCAAAGAGGCCACACAATTTCAGTAAAAAATTTGATCAGATCCCATAACCAATTATAATCATCAAAATTCTAACACATTACTATATGAAGACAGAAGTGACACGATGTTAAGATAGACACATTATAGATTTTGTTAGCAACAATAGGCCATGTACAAATGGTTGATACATCAGTAAATAAGTAAAATTAAAAGATTAATAAAACAGATTATAAATGGGATGGTATCAATAATGAAAATCGAAGTAACATAGTTTGCTTCTTTACAATTTTGTACGGGTCTTTATCATTAAAAACGTTTTATCAGTCATTTTCTCTTTATTTACAAAGTATATGAACAGTTGCATAAGGCTGAGTATTATGTACACAAATAAAAGTTTAGCTCTCAAAATCGATACGATTGATAAACACAATTTTTCATTTGAGTAACAAAACGTACGTATATCGCGATGGGCAATGTTTTGTGTTGAGCTTTGTACAATTCTGATTTTAACGATAAGTACATTGAATTTGGATTCAACTCGCACATTTTGTACATAAAATGCAATTCTTCACCATTAATCTCTTTACAGAATGCTAACATGAGCTCCAATTTTTTTTTGTGTAAAAAATCAGCAACATGTTCTTCAGACCATGAGTCAATGAAGGCATCATGAGTATCAGATGTAATTAATGGCTTAGGCTCGTCAAGTTGAATCGGATGAGTGTTATCATCACTAAAATAGAAACATCTTTTTGAGTTTTATAAATGTTCAAATAACATCTAACAGTGAAATGAACATTAAAAATGACTAACCCTTGTGATAGTACTAAATCTTTATCGGGAACTTTTTCTGGAAGCGGTCGTGCTTTTGGTTTCGTTCGATTGAGTTCAATCTCACTGATCAATTTTTCCAATCCTGTTTGTACATCAACGGCACTAAAATCAATATACATTCGCGATCCTGCTATAAACCCTAACCACCCGTCTGGACAATATTTTTCTCGCATAATAATTGGTATTATTCGACGTTTTCGATTAAATGCATATTCTGCTTCCGATTTACAATTGGTACTTTTTTTATATGTTTCTGACATGCACATCAAAATGACTTCCGATGATTCAACCGCATTAGCCATCGCTTCAATTGTTGATCCATGCATTTCATTTTTATCCAACCAAACGCGAAAGTTTTTAGCAACAAGTCCATCATGAATTTTCGAGCACAATTCTTGATCGGCCCATGAATAACTAATCATAATATCATATGCAGTTTTTGGCGTCATCTCTTCATCGTCTCCATTTGTAGAGGAGGTTGGTGGATGAATCAACTTTTGTTTGAACTCTTGTTCTTTTTCCACTTTCCAAATAATGCCGTCCGCACTCTTCTTTAGTTCTGGATCATTAGAATTTAGTAAAGATTTGACGTGAGCCATAAATACTTTATCTTGCTTCAGAGTAGTGGCTGCATTGGCATTGAACGTGGGCGCCCACAAAGTAGCGAGTGATTCACGTTGTATTTCGATGGATTGATCATTAACTTGACAAGCATATTTAATCAGCAATGGAAGACCATCTTGTTTTATGAATTCGTCTTTCATTTGATCATGTTGAACAAGGACTACAACAGCAAAGAATGCAGAAATATATCTACCTAAATACTATACTTTCTCCCACACCTTTTAGACCCGATAACAGTATTCTGACTTCATTCGGATCGTTTATTGTTTGTTTTAATTTATTAATATACATTGATGTAATTTCTTGTGCATTATCCAAACATTCTATTTCATGGTCGCTCATCGTATTTATCATAATATTGTTGGCATATATTTGTATCTCTTTATTATTTATTTTAGAGAACTTTAAAAACATTTCTGTTTTTTGTTTATCTTTAATTATTGGCAATAGATCAGGATTTGAGGATGCAGCATGAAATGTCTTGATGGCCGATAATATTAATGTGGTAAAATTTGGAATGTTCAAGTGATTGTTTATAGCATCATCCGATAATTGAAGACAATTAATCAGATTCGTGTTGTCAAGGATAGTGCATAGATGATCGATGATTTTGCCATGTTGTCTAAATACATCTGGTACTTGAGTATCTAAGAGTTTATATATAATATTGAGAATGTATTCCAACGACCGAATAATCGGCTGGGTGTTAAGTTTGAAGGATAATAAGCGGTCTAACATGTATTCATAACGTTCTAACATGATCATACAAAATTCGTTGATTATAGATTTTTTTGTATCCGATGGACAATATTTGGGAAAATATTCGAAACTTGTATACAACAAGAATTTGTCTGCTTGATTGAGAAGAACTGGTACCGATTGCAGTTGTTTCACTGCATTAATGTAGTCCAACGAACTGATACAATTTATAATGAAATTCATTAATAACGATGCATTTTTCGCATCATCCAAAAAGGTAGTGTTATGTAGAATTTTTGTAGCAAAAATTCCTAAATTGTTGATGTTTGGATCGTTATTGAGATTTTGTTTATTGTTCAAAATATCTTCCATTCGAAGTTTGATTTCCTCGAGTAATTCATCATTAATCAATAATTTGTTCATAGTTCCATCTTGATCTATAATCATTGAAAATAACTGAATAATTTTTTCAAAAATATTTGTTTCTTGAATATTTAAACATAAAGAGGTTGGTTTCCATTTTCTTAAAATATCAATGAGAATATCACAAATAAACGAAAATAAACGATGAGAAACGAGAGGTTCGGATGTTAATTGTTTGATAGGAATATGCATGATAGCATCTAAAAACTGATCGACGCAATCTGGACAAACAATGGATTCATCATATTTTTCATGTATGCTCACTTCATCGAGAATGTCATCAAAGATAACTTTCAATTGGTCTTTAGTGAGACTTTTAGCATCATTATTAACTGTTTGCAAATGTGAACGAATCAATTTATTAGATATCATTCGCGTCATTCTGTTTAGTTTGAAGAGAGATCTAATCTAGATCAATTGCCAAATGTGTGATTTTTCTATAAATCTATCTAAAATGTATCATATTTTAATCTAATAAGTTTGGAACAATTTTTTGAAGATTTTTTCTACCATTATTATTAGGGGAATTATTCGACTCTCATAATAAAGGAAACAGTTTTTCTTTTTATACGATCCTTTTTTTAGAAAGACGTGAGGTAAAAAGTCGATGTAAAAGACGTGAATTTTCAATCGAAAAAGAGAAAAACGTAAGAGTAAATGTTTGAATTTCAAAATTATAAAGAATTTGCGTGGAAAGAAGAATTATAATACGAAATCCGTAAGAAAAAGACACAAAAATCGATATCCTCTAAAGAACGAGAGAAAATCCATACTCAAAAGTAAAATATTATAAATGTGTGATGATGATGAAAACTATTAAAGCGACTTTAATGGTTTTCTGATTAACTCTAGCTGTAGCTTCGCTTTCGTTCAGTACTGTACTGTTTCGGTTCATTTCTCAATATTGTTGAGTCGGTAATCTAAGTATTGTGAAGACACTGAAGCTTGAATAGAAAAAAAGAATTGAACATGAATAAAAGCTTAATTACTCTTTGAATTATATCCAAAATTTATGCTGTAGTGCAAAAATACTGCATAAATTTATCAACGCAAAATTAATTTTCAGAGGATAAAACACCAGACATATCGAAAAACTGCTTGAAATCCATCCAAACTTAACATAATATACCATTTTTTGACATTCCGTGTTAAAAAAAGAATTCTTTTTTGTCAGAGATATTAATTTTCTTGTTGCTCATAATGTTGAGGCCTTTAGACGATAAAATTCCATGTTGATCATACGTTGAACAAACGATTTCCAGAAATCTTACTTAACTTTTAATTACTTAAACGTGAATGTTTTGATACGATTTATGGTCACGATGAAAACCGATAGAGAAACCGTGAAGAAAAAGCGAGGGACTTTCTACGGTTCGTTTCAACATAAATATAAGCGCGAATATCGTTAATGTAATATTTCGAAATTAATTTTGATACCTGAGTGCTAGCATTAGCGCATACATCAGACACTGTTAGAGCATAACAGAAACTAATTAAAAGTAGAAGAAATACTCTCTTCGAAGTTCTTTTATTAGAACTGTGATTAGATTGATTATAGCAAATGCATATTATAGTGTATAATGATGAAATGCTATACGTGAGTTTTAATAAGGAAGACAAACCCACTCATTTATTAATGTAGACTACTTTTTTTCTATTAGGATACTATTATTCAGTCATTTTTATTTAATTTACAGTTACGCATGAAAGAAGTTCATGGTTGACTTTCTTTGGTATGATCAATTAAAAATAACAACAATTGAAAACAATTAAAAACGCAATATAAACTCTAAACAGAGAACAGAAATGTTCATTGAGTACTTTTCCATAGACACTACTACTACTCACCTGAAATAACGAGAATCTAGACGATGGCTGCAAGCGTCGGGATATCAGAATGAATTATTGGCCGATAGGAAAGTTACAAGCCTATGCTTGAGGTTTTTTAACAAAAAAGTGCACAATTCAAAAGAAGGATAAGACAAAATTATTTTTGAATATACAGAAACACCACTGTAAAGTTTAAAAGTATATTTTAGGAGTTAAAAGTTAGTCTTTACTATACAGAAAGTTAACATAGTTATAATCGGCTTGATAGTTACAATTAGAGTTAAAACATCTTGCCTTAGTTTCACATTAACTTAAGACAGTTCTCCATCATAGTAAACTAAACTAAAACTACCGAAAAACACAAAATCAGTTTTGTACAAATAGAGATTCGAATACATAAACTTAGGTTTCCAGTAAACTGCTAAACTATACATGTTACTTCAGCTGCACTAATTTGTTGTAAAGGAGATGACAGTGTAAGAAAATCTTTAATTATATGTGCTAAACACATATAGAAAAATGTTGATCTTCTAGGTCAAAGAGTCTATCAATGAGACAACCCAATTTACCTTTTAGTTTCATTTTACCTTTACCAAGTCCAAGTAAGAAGTACAAAACTCCAATGAAATACACTTTTCAGTGAAGTTAACTACTACACTGATTTACCGAGCTTTCGACCTGTTTATTCTTCGGTCATTTTCAAGGCGAATGACAAAAAGAAAAAACGTGTACAGTATAAGAAGAAACAGGATGGTCAGGAGGGTTGAAAGCTCGGTAAATCAGTGTAGTAGTTAACTTCACTAAAAAATCTATTTTGTTGGAGTTTTGTACTTCTTACTTGAATTTCTATTTCCCACTCCACAATCTACTCAATTTTATCATTATCTTCGCCAAAAGTACGGTGAAGCAACATTTCGTATCATCCGACAATTAGAAAAGACGGTGATAAAACATCAAAAATCACTTTTGGACAGTGAATTCCTCCGACTCTGTCTCATTTACTGTTTCTTCTTATACTGTACATGTTTTTTCTTTTTGTCATTCGCCCTGAAAATGACCGAAGAATAAACAGGT